TTTTAGAAATTTTCATCAAATAAATTCTCTTTTCCATTTGGTTAACTTTTTTTACAACTTTAACTTATTCTTTCTACAAATTTTGATCTCTTATAAAGAATAATCAAATAATTTTAGAAGCGGATAATTTTATCACCGAACAACAACCAAACAATGAAGGACATTTCCGATTATTTAGTGGGCGTACAATGCTTCAGAAACCTATTTTAGTGATCAATCATCAATGTGATATGACATATTATGAATGTCAAAAGGTATAATTTAACAATTAGAAATTTTATATTAACTTATGAGAATTTAAAAAAAAAAAATTAAAACTTATAATATTCGGTAGGTTAACTGAGAATTATCATAGGATATCGTTGACAATCTTTATCATAAAGAAATCAGTATCATAGACAATAAAGTTCAAATATAGTTTTTTAAAAATGCATGCATATCCGAGCATCCTATTTAGATATTGATGATATCAATTACAATTCACCATAACATTATGCCAATAATTAGTTCTGTTTCAGGATATCTACCGGCAATTCATAATTTATATTCCGTATTCCTACTATAATTCAGGAAGAATCGGTTTGAAAGTATTTCATATCGGTCGACTTGGTCTTAGCATCAAATATCCCAATGAAAGAAATGAACCACTTACCGATATAACGACATAGCAATTTTATATTTTGAAACTATTGAACTGCTTTCATCATTTTACAAAAGTAAAACCTCGAAGTGCAATAAAAAAACATCGAAAAATATATAATTGTTAAAAATGGGCTATTGATTGGATCTAAAATATTATAATCCATCTATCAGGTATTAAAAAAAAAAAAGAAACAGCTTGATATGAACAGCTAGCTGTTTCTCGTTGCAAATACGGGAAAGATGTCGGTTTTTATCATATCAGGGATCATAAAGATTAAAAAAATTTCAACGACACCTGATAACACCTGTTATATCAACAAAAATATCACATTCTTCTAATTCAAATTTAGTAGGAGAGAGATCTCTTTCTAATTTATTAATTCTATTATTTTTCCTTGTTACAAGCACAACTTTTGCTTTTCGTGATGTTTTATCCATCAAGAAAAAAAAAGAAAAAGAACATAAAATAAAATAAAATGAAAAAAAAAAAATCCTAATAACCTTATTAATATAAATTTCAAACAGATAACTGAATTATTTCATATGGGAAACAAGCATAGAATGAGATAAAAAACTGAAGAGAAATACAACCGATAACTTATAAATAGTATGAAGTATTCTTTCACAAAGCAAAATAACGAATGTGCAAATTACACTTGCAACCTAGTATTCAACTTTTCCTCAATAAAAAAACTCATTTTAAAGAAATGAATGAAAATTTTTGAATGAAAAGGTTTGGGGAAGTAATAAAATCACAGTTTATCTAAAAGTGGACAAGAAGGTAAACCATTACATTTACCGCAGCTGAAGTAGCATTTTGCAAGGTCATATAATATTCATCCCAAATAAAGACTTCCAACATTATCTAAAAAAGGCTCAGACCAATAAACTTAATGAAGTTGTGAGCCAAGATACTAATCCAATATCATCCCTGTTACATCTTGTCTAAATGTGACTGACATATGCTGATTAAGTCTAGAATTTAATTTGATGAACAAAGTGATTTGAAGTATCTGTTCATAACATATCTGGAAAAATAAAACATAGATGGAAGCATTTCATTGGACTGAAATCTTATAGAAAAGCCTTTAGAAAAAAGACAAGACAGACAGATAGTGGAAAAAAAAAGAGAATAATTCTTTCAGGCATTCACATACGAATTTACCGGAATAATCAGTAATAGTAATGATAAAGCTAAGATGGGAGAATTTTTTTTTCAGAATAATATAACAATGTGTATATAAACAACAATCAATCAATAAATATATAGATGATTGATGATACTCATCGATCACTAATAAATAATACATTTCACATCCAAGTTTAAATCAGTTTCAAAAAATTATTAACCAACGTAACAGATATTTATACTTAGAAATAATGATAAAAATGCAGCGATTAAGCAACATCAAAAAAGTTTACTTCTTTTTTCCTGAGATTTTAGAATATTATCACTTTTGTCTTTTGCCCATTATTGAAATCACATTATCTGGAAAAGATATCACCAAAGTATCAAGTATTAAAAGATTTCACAAATCTGAAAATACTGGAAGTACAATATTTGCGCAAGATAACTGGACACAATATATGTATATATATATGTACCGAATAAATATAACCGGCATGCAATGAGAATCAACATTCAACCGGTTAGATATTATCAATTCAGCACTACTTTCCTTTTCATTCTTGCCTAGCAAGAATCTTATTAATTGCACAATAACTGGAATAAATTAAGAATGATCATAACCTGACCAAGTAATCTAAATTACCCATGTAACATATTTCAACATATTCCGCCTAATCCATTTTTTTTTCGCCTTCTTCAATTTTGACCTTCATTTCAACTGTGGTTGATCCATGGGTCGCATATTAAAAAACAGATCTACACTTTATATGAATTACACAAAAATTAAAACAATTCTTTTACCCAGGAAATCATAAATAACGAAAAGAAATTTGCCAAAAATTGAGAATTTGCGGAAAAACATATTACGTAACCACGGGTTGAAAAACCGCTGGGAGTTAAGATGATCGTTTCGAGTCATGAGAACTTTCTAAAATTTAGAAATATTGAATTAGTGTAGAAGCAATAAATATAAAGTAGTGCAATAAAAATCATTCCAAACTAACCAATCAGAACCCAGATCCTCCATCAGTTATGGGAAAAATAAAATAAGCTAATGGAAGAGAAGCAATTGGAAAGGAAAATGGAGAGACTGGGCAAATGCGAGATCACGAACGATAATGATAACAAAAATTACTGAAACAAGCAATACCTATAAGCAATACGGACAAATTTCATCTACAACTCTGATTGCAAAGAGAAAAAAACGAAGTAATAAATATTATTTTTTCCCGAGCAACCTGGAAGAAAATAGTATTGATTACTGCTGCATTTTTGATTGAAACTGTTCTTGCTCGCAATAATACTAAATGATTATGTCCACACTAATTTCTTGAAAAGGAATGTATTACCACCCAAAGAATTATAAATAAAATAAAAGGAGAACAAAATGTCACGCAACCAGCCAAAAAAAATAGCACTTTTAATTTATACAATATGAGCACTTGCGGATCGAGCATGACTATTTGGAACCAGCCGTGGGGTACCCGATGAGCCACCATTACCGCTTCGTGGTGGCGATATTAACAGCATTGTGCTGCACTAAAAAAAAGTTCTTTAACTAATATTAAAAAATATCTTATAAATCAAAAAAACTAAATTGAAATTTGAAATTTTTGAATATGAATTGAAGACAAAAAGATTAAAAGGAATTATTTTCAACGAAAGATTAAAAAAATACGAGAAATAAAAGGGAATTTTGGTGGGATTAATTAAAAGCGTTATACGAAAGTTAAATATGATTAATTTGCGATAAAACACGAACATTTTCAGATCCAAGGGTAGCGGTATTACTGTCATCTGAACAATTACGTCGATGTGCTTGTGATTCTTGCACTGTCCGTCGTATCCGTCGATGTATGGGCGGCGGAGCAAACAAGCGATGACTTCCATCTAATGGTTCAATCTAGAAACGGATAAAAATTACAGAAAAGCATTATCTTTCTTCCGTATTTATTCGACAGATTTCATTCAATATCATTTTGATAATTTTTGAAATTATTCCGGGGAACCATCCAAAATTTTAAATTTATTAAAAAGTAAAATTTTAAATTTAACTAAAGCAGAAGCAGTGGTTCCGATTTTATTCATATAATGAATATTGTAACAACTTTCCATTCTGTAACAACTAACCTCACTTGGTGGTCCAATAAGTGACAATAATACCGGTAGCAAAGCAAGACCATTGATAACGCCAATAAAAATCAATGCTGTCATTACTACGAAAAAATATTTCACAACAAATTCAAATTCCGAAAAAGCAAGCATAATAATCCCAAGCAGTGTTGAAAAAGCACCATGAATAACAGGAACAAAAACACGATCGATACAAGATGCCATTCGATCATTTCGGGTACCAAGTGATGTCAAAAATGCCAGCACAACATGTGCAGTAAATTCCACTCCTAGAGAAATATCCCACTAGATTTAATTTCAATTAGGTTAAAGTTGAACCAAACTTAGTTTAATTCCTTTCAGTGATTATCACGACTTTGTGATCATTTTACGCAGCAATCTCTTTATTGTGACGCAATCTTTTATCACATACAGCTATATATAAGTTCTCATGAGAAGGTCACGTCAAAGTATGCTTGATTTATTAATTTACAAATTGCTGACAAACAATTTTCATTCACTGAAATTAATTACAGTCTCCTCATGAACAGCAAAAAATGACTCGTTGCTCACGAAATTCGAATAAAAAAGCCTAAATGATATATGAAGCGGAATGATCTATCAGTTTCTTATTACTTTTCATATAATCCTCTAAAAGTTAAGGATTGACGATTTCAGCAGTTTAATGACACGAATAAAAAGGCATAATTTAGTGGCTGCTGGGAGACAACTCATAAAACTCACGCTCAGTATCTACCTTATTATAGCCACAAACGGTATATGTTAGCCAAAAACTAGAAGTTAAAAAAAGAATTTTAAATTCTCACTAATCTAACTGATTTATTCTTGAATTAAAATTTAATTACTTCGAACTAATTTCAAGTCTCCGATTATCATACAGAAGTAAAACATAAAAATTAGAGACGACTCACCAATACCAACGGCAGTGATAACTGTTACAGCTGAGATAGGATTCAATTTGATACCAGCCAAACCAAGGAAACCGGTGAGCTCAACAGTCATTAGCAGCAAAATTATTAAAATAATGCCTGAAATATCCTTCCAAGTGTATATACGAAAATCAATAAAGACGTACAAAAGCCTGAATTTTCTTTAATTCAGCGAAGAATTTGAATATGTGATGAAATCTTGATAAAAATACGCAATGGAAATTGGATAAATCACAGAAAAAGAAAGTTACAAACCAGCAGCCCACGGGTTGCATATAATAATAGAGATCACACAGAATACAGCAAATGCTATTACACAAATAGCTTGGAAAAGGTTGGTACTCAAATGTAAATATTGTTCCCAAAATATGAATGCAACTCCAGCTGGGAAATTCGGTAGACCATCAGCACTGAATTCGTCACAAATAGTACGAATTTCCTGGAAAAAAAAAATTTTCTTTCAACCTAAAATAATTCAATCATAAAATAGAAGATGAAGAGCAACCTGAAAAAACTGCAACTAATTCAAATCTTACAACAAATATGTTTCATAAAAAGCTTTCCACCGAGAATCAAAGTTAACAAGAAATGAAGAGGTACAACAGCCTTGTAAACAAAACGACGAGAAAAATGGCTAACTTTAACCATTTCGATGATAACTGGTGTGCTGGATAGATTTGTGAGATAAAAGGGTATTTGGCTGTATTCAAATGGACCTGCTGGCGGAACTAAGCGAGCTGTTTTATCTTCGATCGTCCACTCCGGTGGTGAAGGGATGAATGAAGCTAATGATATATGATACATGATTTTATCGGAATTATACCAGGCTGTTAAATAGTTGTAAAAACTTTCAATATTAATCGTTCCACTTTCATCTACAAAACGTACTCTCCCAATCTGCAAGCACAAAACAGTGAGCTGCTCTAAAAATATCGTAAAATTTTCCTTATTAATAATATGCCCATGTTTTAGTCCTTTAAAAATACCGTCTACAGTTCAACCGTAGATATTTTTATGGTACGACGGTATGTCTCCTTTAAAAAGTCGCTATAATGGTTCAGTCCATGTCCAGCTAGTAGATAAGTGAGGATACTTACACGGCCGGTACAATTGTACGTATATCCATAGCTACATGCTAATCGATATGCAATATTGACATCAGTCGGCAATTTCTCGGTTACTCCCGTAAAATCAGTTTCTTCACCCACAACTGCACCCGTTGATGAATCAATCTTTAATGAAACAATTTTCATCCATTTATTTACATAAAAAATAATGATTTCATTTTCGAATTAATGTTCTCCATTTCCATACAGAGCGACAAAACAAATTTTAAAAACGACGAATTAAAAAAATTTCGAGTATATGTTTTCAGCTAGATTTAAGACTTTTTAAACACTTACCAAACCATCGGCTATTGCCTGATCCAACTTCTGCTGCAAATTTCTCAGCCAAACCCGTAACACCGATAACCAATATTTCTCGCTTGGTTCGTTCTCGCTATTTTTTACGACAAAAGGAGAACTGCCTAAAATTAATAACAAATTAGAATACATAAGTTACCAACGGGTAAGAAAATAAAATGGATATAAGAGGTGTCTTATAATGACCCGAACAAGGAAAAAGAACATTTAATATATATGAAGCAGCGAATATGGATGAAAGTTGAAATGTAAAATGTAGCAGCCCTTTCCTAGATATCTCATAAATTATCCAAAGGTGCCAATAAATTGAGTTTTTTTTTTTCAGAAACGATCACATAATGCTAATTTAAAAAGCAAGAATAATTTACCAATACTCAAACGATAATTATCGATTTTGTGCTGATTTTTGGCATAATCAACGTTCGGTCCACGTAATACAGCAAACATCGGGTAAAAGCTGAAATAACGATCCCGAGCTTTCAGAAAAGCAGCCGGGGCTGTCTGATCGGGTAATATATCGCTCATTTCAAGACCAAACGTAGTGTTGTGCAATCCAAATAATCCGGCAAATAACAAACACAAGCAGGTCATGATGACAAATATCTGAACAGGAACCTTTGAAAAATGTATAAAAGCAAATTCACCAAAATGAATGTCGCTGACATAGGTAATGATTGTGCTTCTAACTTCAATCTTATATTAAACTCAGCAATTTAAAATCGCCATATTTACCAAACTTTCTAGAAAACTCATATCAAAGGTCACAATTTCAAAATTTACAAAAACTTTACGAAATATCAAAACAAAATGCATATAGAATAAGGAATGATTTTCATCGTTCAGTAATTGAAAGCTCTTTTCAAATACGAACTAAAATTAAATTAAAAAAATACTGTAGAATAAAAATAATACTTACCTTAACTATTTTCTTTTTCAAGAACGGTATGTAGTAATGCCGAAGGAAAGCATGAAGAGTCCAAGGTTTAACGATATCGTCCTCCATGTCATCACCATGATCGTTAGAGGAGTATAGATTATGATATGAAGGCACTATTCCACCAACTGTTAATTTTTCCTGCAATTTTTCCGCGGATGAACCAAATCATATCAGTATAAAATTCTGTCACCTTGAGCACTGCTACATCAATAACTGTCAAATGATCTATTAATATAACAAATAACTCTTCAAATAATCCAGTATGAAGCTGTCCAGCACACGTCGATAATTATTATCGAATTAGACGAGAGCATCCTCTCCCACTCAGAAAACCGATTTACAATTCGTCATTTAAGAGCTTATTCAATAAAAATTATTATACACATAATTTAAAGACTTCTCAATTTCCAAATATCTGAAGATAATAACACTGACTTGAATATGTGGTTTGACACCGACATCAATCATATAACTGCTTTCCCTCACAAATGAATTCCTTGTCACCGAACAGCAACAAACATCTCGACGGAAACTTTTGCGACGACATAAATCAATAGATATAATTGCTGGGAAAATCGTAAGCACAGCAATTAGATTAAAAGTCAGAAGAATAGAAGACTGAAATGAATTTAAACTTGTAACGGAAATGAAGATCTACGTAAAAAACATACCTTGTTCAGAAGGTGTACAATTTTTTCTCTTCCAAATATTTAGAAATCAATCCAGAGATAATAACATTAGCATAGAATGGTAGATTTTGCTTATTTTGATATCCTTCCATGAGATTTGATTTAGTTCAAATTTTAAAAATTGGACTTATTTTAAGACTGTTTTCAATGCCGGAATCAAATTTAATGAATTAAAAAACAAACCTGCGCACAAAATGCACGTAATGCAGGGATTGGCAACAATGTTCCGGCAAGAAACGAGAGAATATTATTGATGGATGTCATCATAACACTCATACCGGTTTCTTTCATTAACATACCGACTTCATCCTTCTTCACATTTTCCATTACATTGTGATAATTATGCAATAACAGGAAGATATTATCCACTCCAATACCAAGTGTTAGAAATGGCACTATCTGAAAATAACCCACCAAAATTCAGCTCGCTATTCTCAGTAAAAGTGAGAGTCGTTAAATAACGTCAATGAAATTATCAATGGGAAAGCTTAGCAATTTAATTTAAACATTATCCATGAAATTCGTTAATTAATATGACACTCATAAATTATGGGTACAACCGTGGAAATTAATTGAATGATAATATGTAATATCCATTAAATTCATTTCAAACGCCGATAATAAGCGAGCTCATTTCACATGACCACAAATTTCAAAATTTATTATTACTATTGTAAAATAAGTGTAAACGTATAAAGTCATGAAAAAAAAAAAAACCTGAGTGGTAGCAGCATTGAATTCGATACTTAACCATGTGGCAAGGCCTAAACCAGCAACTGATGCAAAGGTAACTGTTAAGACACCAGCAAAAGCCAAACCTATGCATGAATCAACAGCTAACATGCATCCATGGCATTTCATTTGAGCTTGCAATGCATAGATCAGCATCAGAAAGTATCTAAAATGACCAAGCAATCGGTCAAAATTTGAGATTCATGAAATTAGTCAATTAAAGAATTAACAAAAAATGTGGTAACTAATTTATCAGGAATTTCTTTTAATTTCATCTCCGTAAACTATAGAAATCTTAAACCAATAATTTGACCTATTGATGGCCTTGGTAGTTAGGGTTAGAGTTGAATTTTGTTTCCGAAAGCTGATGCTAAACTGATTCTGAATAAAGTCAGTCAGCACAACAAATCAACAAAAACAGCAAAAATTTCTCCGTTATTCTTAATAACTATTTCACTTGGTTATCTCCCATTTGATAAAATCCCACTTAAATTTACTAAAATATTTACTAGCTGCTGATCACAGTGAAGTGATTTCTTCCCAGAAAGGTTGAAATATTAACTTGCTCAGGTATTCGTTGTAATAAGTACATAACTACAAGCTTCAGATAATTTCATCAAGAAAAATTTACCCGACAAAAATGATGCTGTAATTGAATTTGCAAAATTGTTCTAACATATCGGTCACTGATGTTGATGCTAATGGGTGTATGCGACGATGGACAATTTTTGAATCACTTTTCTGATCGACGACAAAGTTCGATTGGTGATTGTACAAATTGCTTGTAAAGTTACGTTGCCACGTTTTTATCACATTTTCTGCCACAGTCACATTCCATTGCATTAGATTTAAATTTGGTTTTGAATAAATCCTATCACCATCCTGCGAAATGAAATGATCGAATGAGTATGCTCGCAAAAATAGTGAATATCGTCTGTCAAACAGGGTTCATATATTGTTACAGCTATATATGTATGATGATACCTATTTTTTTCTCCTTAGGGCCTGAAGAACAAGTAACAGTTATCTGCTAAAAATCATAAAATGATGTTAAATATGAGAGCTCAGTTTTCAACTTCAACAACCCATAATTTCCATGACTTTTTAACTAGTCTCCTCCAGATAACAAAATATACCTTGAAACGATTATATATATCAGTGGGCGAAGCAACCAAAAATACGCTTTGCAAAGCTTCCGCACTTTTAATCGTACCATTCTTCATCTTAACGCCACCAATAATCAGATCCTGTGGCCATGACATGATATCTTTCGCGAAACTATGACAACCACCAGTCATTACTTCACCGTACTTAGGAAGTATAGGCATTTCATGCTAAAAACAAACTTCATCACGGTGAAAAGCTGAAAGATTACTAAAATTATAGAGTTAACTAATATCACGCACAAGTCGGGAGTTATACGGTACGACACTGTAACGAGTTTGATAAGTGGAATCTGTTCAAAGATTATCGAATATTCGCTATTCCTCCCCATCTCATTTTAAAAAAAAGCAGCAGTCTCCTAGAAGATTTCATTCCAAAAAATAAAGTCATACCAATTTCAGGAACTCATGCCACTTATCCGTATTATTCCGAAGCCATTCCGAAAAAGGTCGTGCATATTTCGCGCAAATTTCGGCTGAAAATTTGATTTGCTTCTTTTCTGAATACCAAGAAAAAACTGAAGTCATGTCAGTGTAAAAGCTGTAACACAACTTCATCATGCTCGAATGATGCATGCTTAGATACAAACGAATTAAAGATAAAAAACAAAGACCAATTGGGGACAAGAATAGGAAATAAAGAATTATAAAATTACCACGCAGAGTCTAACATTAGAGAGCCCAAATTTTCAGCGGATATGGCACACCAGTTGCAAGCATCACGGCAACACGTGAATATTATATTGTGCAATAAGACAAATGCAAGTGTCACTTATTTAAAAACACCCAAAGAAAATGTAAAAAAACCTGGAGGAAGTGGGTGGAAAAGGAATAAGGAGAAACTGATAAAGTGAGAACTCCAGATCTAATTTAGAATGACCGAAAAGCGTAGATTCAACGGGAATATCATCACTGTGATAGAATTAGTTATTGTTGTTGACTAGAAATCAAAATAATTGTAACGAATATGAATATCCGAATTGAACTTGAAAAACAAACTCGAAGTAAACGACTACCAATCACCACCTCAGACAAAAACAGCAACACACAGATGAAAGCCATAGAAAAGCAAAGTGGGAACTTAAATTCCTCATTAAAAAAAAAAAAAATAGCAGAAAAAAGAGATGACGGATAGCATGCCGTTCAACTAAACAGGTACACACATACATAATAATTTCCTTTTATAACTTATGCAACCTAGTCTTCTCACCATTTAAATTAAATTCTTTATCTTCATCATCGTCATACAGAAAATCACTGTCATCCTGATGAGCGACTGAACCTGAAGTTTGCAGTGACTTTTCTCCATGATAATGTTGCTTCATCACTTACTTTTTATTTGGATTTAATTGCCTAAGTTCGAAAAAAGCTGCATTTCTGGAGACTCCTGGATGCATCGGGAATTAAAAAGTTGTTTGATATGAGTATCTTGGTTTTGAGTTTTCAGATAAAATAACTGAGTGAGAAACTCACTACCCTAGTGATAGTGAACTTCTCCTTCGATCATTTTTTATCTGAAAACTCCGATCAGAGTAATAAACCTACTTAGTGCTTAAGTCAATTTGATTTTGTCTAGTATTCCTCCTAAAAATTTATTCCGTTGATTCGATCTTAATTATAACTGATATTAAAGATTGGTCAGTTAAGAAATAAAGAAAGCTTTCTACTTAATGCTCGTGAAATCTCATTTAGTTTACTTTATCCCTTAGCCTTCTTGTAGAGGATGAAGTATTACATGACCATCATGATATGCAATTACACCTGAAGTTTAAACAGACTTTTTCTCATAGCAATGTTGGTAAAGAAAGGCTGTTAGCCAGATCTATCAGGGAAAGACGTTATTTGAAAAAAAAGACCTGAATGATTTCAAACGTCCTCGAATTTAAATACCACATATTGATGTGTCCCGAAGAGAAATGGAATAAACTCTATTTTCAATCACAGTGAAATTACCAACCTCTTTTTGGATTTGTTGTTGTTCCTGGTGAACGATATGATGACACGGTAGATTCTGCTTCCACTGGAGTTTGAATTTGTTGGTTATCTGTGCTATTTTCGGCATGCTTTGAAATGAAATGAACGGTCTCATATTTCGTTTCATTCGTTTCAACAGTTTTATCTTCGCTAAAGGAAAGCTCAGCTTGATTTGTATAATTTGACATTTCGTCTACGCTCAAATAATTACCAATCGACTTTCTCAGGCTCCTCTTTTGCCCTGAAAACTGACTGCATGTCGTAGAAGCTCTGAATAAGCATTTCCCTACCAAAATTCTAATTTTTTAATGACATTTATAAACCTGGAACAAATTTCCCTTTTAATTCCAAGGTTATTGGGAATTTCCTAGGAGAAAAAAACTTAAGGATTTCTCTTGTCTATTCCTTTAAGCGACATCTTAATATATTGAACCAACTTTTGCTGAAGAAATGAAAAAGACTGTATTCGTCTTGATTTTTCTTTTCTTCCTCACGATGAAGATATTCTGGATCAACCGGTATTTCAAAATCCTTTTCCTTTGCATATTCCAAAAATCTAGGGATCAGGTCACAAAAAGCAAAGTGGTTAGGTGATCCAATAGGACACTCCGGATTGAGTGGATCAATGCACCAGCGGTCAAGATAACCTCTGCCTATATTAGCCTGAAATTAGAAACAATCTGACTTCTTTAGTTACCTTATACTTCAATTTCTGATAAATCGTATAACAATCAGAAAAAGTTAATTGAAATTACAAGGCCAAAACACTTTCTATTTAATCAGTATTGAATAATGAAGCAAAATATAAAATGATTTTTGAACTCAAATTAAATCACCTTTCATCTGGATGACTAATTTAGCAAGCAAAGATTTACCCGATGGAAAAAACTGTTGAAATTATTTAAGTCCAAAATTTCGGCCAATTCATCCAGAAGTGCTTGCGGATCGATGTTTGACCATGATAAAGTGTCCACATTTGATAGTGATGTCAAAAATTCTTTCCCAAATCCAAGCGAACTGAAGAAGCCCATTCAGTAATTGAAGCAATAAGTCCATAATGTTGACAAAATAACTTTCGCGCTTTTAGTTTTTGCATTCAAACCCAATTAAAAACAGTCAAATTATGGTGAAATTTGTAAGAATTCCATTCGCTTGCTCTATATTCGCTATTTTTTACCTGCTTTCAATACTGGGATGTGGTCCAATCGCTTTTGATCCCTCCCAAAAGCAATCAATCGGTGTAATCCAAATGCATGGTATTATTTTATCAATAAGTGGTAAAAATTGAGACGCAAACAAGTTGTCAATTTTCGGTGACGGTGGTTTGAAACATAGATCCGCAAGGGTCCAATTCCTGGAAGAAAATATTTTTTAAATACTATGAGTAATTTCACAACAAATGCAAGTTAAATGAATGAGCAATTGTGCATGTCAATTAATACGACTTTGAAGAGATGCCCTCATTTCGCATTTCAAAACATTATAGCATACGTTCTGAATACTTTGAAGTTTTTTGAAATAACTAAAACGGCTGGTAAGACATATAACTAAGAAAAATAGAGTGATCGACTTGAAAAGTTATGAACAGTTGTAGTTTTAAAATTTTTAAATTTTATGATGCGGTATTAATTTATTAATTTGTTTCTTTTGTAAACAATTACAAAGAACTGAGTAAATTAAATTGTCAACATAAAACAAAAACAGAAAAACATACTCGCCAGCGACATTCACTTCATAGTTCGCAATCTGCTCCAAAATTGTGACATGTTCTAGTAAGCCTTCTTGCGTAAGTATATTATCACCTTCAACTATAGGAGTATGTATCACAACCTGAAAATTAATAATAATGCAATCAAGGAAGAAAATTTTTTTTCTGAAAGAAACTTCAACTATTTTGGCTTCTGCCTCCTTTTTCCTAACGATTTATGACCTCACTGATCGAAATCGCTCACTACTAAACAATTACTAAATAATTAATTAATAATGCAATAAAAGAAGCAGTGAAAAAAGTGATTTGCCAGCTTACTGTTTACTTACAACTTACTAAACAAAGAGAAAAAAAAAGGAAATGACATTCTGAAGGTAAATGGAGATGATACCTGATAGGCACCACCAAGACCAGTTTCACCGTGCGCTTTATCCGAACTCAATTTCTCTATTCTTGACAAGAAATTAAGCTCTTCTTCTAGTCGGCCACCACCTGAGAAATAAAAAATAAGTCTTCTTCGAAATGAAACACCGAATAAATGAAAGCATAAAAAGATATTCTGCAAATTAAAGATATTGAGAACTTCATAATTTTATCATTTTACAACGAAATTTTTAAAAAAAAATGCATGAAAATCAATACACTATATTCTAAAATTTTCGAATGTAAGATTTATGCTTTAAAATAATCAGAAGTATTTTCTTTAACTATAATAATTGGTATCAGTTTTGTTTTTCGACATAAGGTTCGTTGAATGCCTCATTACTTCTATGGGCAAAAAGTATAGTTTATAAATATAGAATTATAGTTTCTTCTTTTTTAATTTTCTCAAAATCTTTGGTATTTCTTTTCAAGCTTAACTTTATACTGGAGTTGCTACTAGTAATGAACGACTACAACTTAACTGATAACATAGTTGAGCATACAATCTCCCTACTTACTTATTCACTTGATCCCAATAATTACTGCCAAGAAATTTACCAAACAAAACTTACGTGCAACCCATAACTTGACGATGTCTGTTTCGATCCGAACATATTGTAACCCACAACAACAGAAACCGAAGAACATTACAACAGTGAATATAACGAGACATGCATGATGATGCACAAATGTTCCCAAAGCAAATAAGGCTTTTTGGATTAAACTTCTCGAATATAAAGCTGCCTTGTTGCCACGTGCTTTACCCTGAGAATTTTTATAGCTCTAGATTAAATGATAAATAGCAAGTATATAAGATTTTTTCTTGTTGCTTTCTTGTTTCTTGGCCGACAGCCGGTTTTGAATTTTCAGAAGTGCATTGTAAAAAAGAAAAAACAAACAATGAGCGCATTCATATGAACGATAGCCTATGAATATAGAAAATTATTCTCACCCGTTTAATTTGCTGCAAAGCCATGTCTGCATCACACCATGACGGTCGTTCACTGAACTCACGTTTCCACCGATCCGAATATTCAGATGAATTTGATTTGCCAACCAAGAACTGATCCAATTTCTGAAACATGACAAACGTTATCAAAATTTATGACAATATATAAGTGAAAAAAGGTAATGGTGACATTTGGAAGAATAAAAAAAACCCCCCTTTCCTTTTTTTCCATTCAACTTATTCTGAAAACTCAACATTAAAGTAATTTGTAAGTAACCTTTGCAGGTCTGATACTGCGGACACAAAAAAGCTCCCATTCGTAGTGCAAAATTGAACAGGACAACAATGTTAATGATGTGAAATAAGATTTCGTAATCAATATTATCAAATACCTATGATAAAGAAAATAGGAGTGAAATATTTATAACTGATTTCGAAAACGCAATGCCTAATTAAGTAAAAGCTATCATTCCTGTTATCCTTACCTGAGCACAAGATACTGTTTTCTTCACAGCTGTTGGTGCAATTACATCGCCACTGTCCGGTTCTTCATCTTCCTCAGGTGTACTGTATTCTAGAAGATGCTGTCCATTTCGTGTATCAGATCCGGTAGCATCATGTTGCTTGGTACTTGGCTGTTCTATCAGTAAAAGCATCCTGCAAAAATGTAGTTTCCGAATTTTCATTTTAAAATAATAAAAACGTGGTAGGATTTGTTTCCAAAGAAATCAATGATTTCGCACGCAATAAGACAATGTATGCAACACAAATATCCATGTATTCCTCAGAAAGCTTACATGTAAAATAAGTTGAAAAACTTTCGAATTTTCGAAATCCAAAAAACTTAGACCGAAAATAACGTTTGTGAAGTATTTAACGAAGTTCAGGACAGAAAAGAAAAAGCAAAAAATGAGTCATCTAGTCTATGTGATTCATACTGGACATTTAACCATTCATTGCAATACTTCACAATGTAAAATATGACAAACTATTTGCAAAAAGTTTAAATTATATCAATTATTCAAAACCATTTAAAACGTGAACTCTCTAAAACCAAATCTTTACTCTATTTGATATATAGTCAAATATCAACAAGGTTAAGGTTAAAATAATGATACCATTAGGATAATTTTATTAAAGTGAAAACATGCAAAATTCCAATAAAATATTTGCAATAACAAGCTATTATCAATAAAAGAGAATGAAATGAATCTGAGAAAAGTGTATGAATGAAAATTAAAACTATGCAAATTATTTACATCTTTGCCACATAATTCATATGAACAACAAAATATTTGGTTATTTAGAAATAAATTGAAAAGAATCAAAGACCAAAGCAAACGTAACACAGTACAATCCTTTTAATTCTTTGCTGTAAAATATGTGATGCTTTGAAAGATGAGAAGGAAACTTTAGAATTTTATTGAAAAAGAAAAGCAAAATAAAGAAATAAATAAATACATTACTGTATCAGTGGAGATTTTTCGGCGACATCGCAGACTTTAAAATGAATAGATGAATGAGGAGAGAAAAACAAAAAAAAACGAATCACGTAATGAGATATTACTGAATGAAAAAGGATACACACATTTTGAGCAATAAACAATAAACAGATGGATGAGACAATGAGTTAGGAATCACCTAATGAGAAAGAGAGAGAGAGAGAGAGAGAAATGTTTATTATGGTTTGTTAACGATGAGTCATTTGAATAGAGGAAAGAAAGGGAAAGTTTAGCTGTAAAAAATTCAAATGTTATGTTAAATCAAAAGTAAATATTATCCAACTATTGCTAAATGCTCAATCATGCGTAACTAACGTAACACGTACGTGCAAAAATGTACAAATCTAACTTGAGCAATAATTTCTGGCTAAATTTCTTTCAGTCCATGCTACTCTATATGCAAATTAAATCCATCATTTGTTATCCTCTAAAGTTTTCCCTTATTTTAATTAAAAATAACACTGAATAAAGCTCATTTTAAGAATTAAAAATGGTTTGTGCATAATTTATCATTGCCTTTACATTATCATATAGCGTAGTTATTAAATTAAAATTTTTGAATCAACCATAGATTTATGAATTATTTCAAATATGAAATATATTCATTCATATTATCGATTTATAGCCCTAGAAAATAAACATATGATTTGAATATTTTGCAGTAAATTTCATCTATCTTTTAGAAATTTGGAAAACTTTCAAATTTCATCTAAAATCATAGCAATGGCATGAATTTATTGCAATCGTTTGTCCATTTAACCATCTGTCATTTTCAAATTCAAGGACAACTAATTTTGAAATTTATTAGATAACAAAATTGTGCTAATTTTCATCTTTTTTCTCTTTTTCTGCAGCAAGAAAAAAATAAATAAATAAATAATCGAATTAACGGCGATACTTTTGCATAATGTAATGAAATATTTGTTAACAGAATTGAATTGAATTGAAATGAAATGAATAGGATAAGATGAATCATCAATTCTCTTATATCAACCGTTGCAAAAATAAACTTTGCGCAGTTTCTAACAATTCCGATTGACATATTCTATTTTCACCAGATGGGATAAAAAATTTTACAAACCTTTATCACTTATCTTCCTTTCTTTCTCTTTCTCTCTCTCTCTCTCCTTCTCTGTCTGTCTCTCTCT